TGGAAGAGAGCCAGAGGCGGTCAAACAATGACTTGGCAGCGAAGTATGAAAGCAATTACCAGCAAACTCAGCTGCGCTGGTCACTGCCGTCTTCCTGGATGGGTACCCCGAGACGGGCCACATCAATGGCTAGAGACATTGTTAGATATGGCCCAGTCGCACCCTCAATGGCGCTGGTGCATCCAGGCTATTGCCTTCAATGCATAGCTCCTTTCCCAACCCACCCCCGCTTGGCAGCCCACTGAACCTACCCCAACCAAAACATCGGTGAACGAAACTGCGGCAGCTACAACCACTGTACGACGAGTACGCGGTTATTGCAGCTGAGAATGATGAGATGATACCCGTTATTGCAGCTGAGAATGATGATGATGATGATACCCAGCTTCTACAAGCAATTCCTGAATTCTTCGCTGTCGAAGCAAGAATAATTTTCGGCACCCCATGGTTGGCCACGATGTCATGCATTACCATTCCACTGATCGTCTTCGCCCATTGATTAGGCACGGCCTGTGTTTTAAATCAACCCAAATTGACGAGTACGTTCATTTGCTTTGAAGCCTCAGTGTCAACATTGATTTGGCTGCATCTGATAACGATGTTGATGACGAACAACCTCGTCTAGAAAAGCAGGAGAACCAGAGTAATCATCATTGTCAGCTGTAATAACCGTGTGCTTGTTGTACAGTGTTTGTAGCTGCCACCGTTTCGTTCACCGATGATTCGGAGAGGTGGAGTAGGTAGCTGCACCTTGGAGACGGGAGCTGATAAATTGGTGCGTAAATACAGCGCTGTGGGTGGACTGTTAAGTGGGAGGATTGGGAGGGCAGCTATAGCTTGGATGCATGAGCGCCATTGAGGGTGCGACTGGGTCACAAGACGCCCTTCCTGTCCTTATAAAAACGAAAGATCAGCTTTAACGCGCACATAGCACATGGACTAACAGAATAAGGCATTTGAATAGTCATTTTTGAAAGTTATCGGTGGAACGGTGGATACTACTGATACAGGATACTACTGATACTGGATGCTACTTCTTCCTTTCATCAGTAGTTTGATGAACACATCTTCTCTGCACATGTTCCCATTGTCTCTGTTCATAGCATGAACTTCCTATTAGGTCTCTAGATATTACGTATATTGTTAACCATGCGACACAAAAACCAGAATCTTTCGGCATTGGGCGAGAAAAAAGCTCGGATACTATCCTTCCAATGTAGGCTTTCAGCATACTATTTCCCGAAGAAATTGGAGCATCCATATTCTTTACACCTGGAACATTCATGAAGGGAATCCCAGGGATTTCTCTGAAGTCGACACGAAAGTGACACTTTGGTTGAGTAGAGTTCACTACATCAAGTTTTACATTGAGGCCTAAGACCACCCATTCAACTCTTGGCAAGCCATCCTTGGTCAAAATTTAATCTAATTTGAATGTATTGAGGGCTAACTGAGAGCAAAGTTTTAGCCATCGTCAAAATATCTTTAAACAATGTTCCCAAGATGTAATCTGAGAAGAAATAGGTAGTAAGAGTTTGAAGTGAATCACTCTTCATTGAACTACTTACTTTTCATCAGTAGAAGCGTGACGGCGACTTAGGATTTATTTTCAATGGTCGAAATCTACACCGAAACATCATTTTTGCCACCTATGAATCGGCCATAGTAAGTCTTATCAACAAACACCTTCACTTTGCCTGCGAACTGTTCCAAGGTATGATTGTCGATAAATTTCAAAAGCATTTACCTAATGGAAGGTTGGTGCTGTGTGACGCCTCTGTAACCTAGCTATCTCGAAGCACCTGACAAGCGTACAGTAAAATTGAGTGACAGCCAATTTTGGCTTATGAAATTTCCGTTTATTTCTCGGTTTTGCACTCAAAAGAAAGATCTGCGAATAACCTTGCCGCTCTCCTTTGGTTTCACTAAGACGAACCCTGTTGCGCACGAAGTAATGTTATACCAGACTAACCAAAGAAATCAATTATTTGTTGTTTTTTTCATACTAAATTGCTTGCTGCTGCGCCAGTGGAGTTGGTGAGCCAATTGTTGTCTACGTGCAACGGCTGGACTCAAATTGGCCGTAATCAGCGTGACCTTATATTCATCAACAACGTTTGACATGACCTTCAGTTGTGCCAGTCCTACTGAAGTCACCAGTCGGTTCCAAATAGAAATTAATCTATCTTTTGTACCATGAACTGGTGATTGGTTTACTAACACTCCTGTGAGTTCCAGTGACCTGTTTATCTGCGTATTCAATGTGGATATCTAGGTCCTCTCCGGGTCATGTAATTTTTCTGCAAAGTTTACTTGTTGTCACTTATGAATCAGCTAAGACCTACGCTAATTAGTCGAGGTTGAACTACTAACAGTTTGAACTTAATATCCAGAGATCTGGCCAAATACGACCTGGCAGATCTTTATGCCTTTTTTTTAACAGTTTTATTCACAGTGCCCTTAATTTTTCCAATAGAATCGGACCAGTTAACTGCCAGTGACCTGTTGAACGCGGTCTTGAACTGATACTGTGGGTCAGCCTGGTGATCATCATTGAAAATTACGCTTGTAGTTCCGGCTGTGTGGAACTGCTTTGGATATCGGAATAAAATCTACAAGAGATCATTCGGTGGTGCTTAGCTACCACCTGTACCCCGCTGAAATTTATCACGGTCATCACTAACAGCTAGATCAGATGAGAAAACTGGTGCATCGCAACCGCGTCAGTCTATTTCAGTAGTATTCATCTTACGGCTGTACTTAAACTAGGCTACTGCCAAGGCCCCAGGACCCGAACAGGAGTACGATTAGGGTCCTCGGTCAAATCCCTTAGCTCAAAAGCCCAACTGTAAGGCGGCGGTGGTTGGCGGAAGACCACCAGAGTAGCCTACATTTTTAAGGGGTAAGTGGTCCTGTTTGTGTTAGTCAGACTTCTACCCATTGACTAAATTGCTATGATAGGCACTGTGACTCCCACAAGTACATTTCCCAATGGGCTGTGCGGGTTCACAGATCTTCGCCGTGCAGTAGGTTTTAGCTTCTTCGTTACGGTATACAAAGTGCCGGTGGAGGCATTAGAAAATCACCCTTTCACTAAGAGGTTGTGACTGACTCAACTGTCTAGCTGGCCACCATTCGTAAACATGGTATGGAAACCAATATTGTCCTATTTACAGTAACACGCCATGACACGTTCCAGTTCCTCGGACAGTGTCATATTTAGTCAGCCCTTCCCAGGAAAACGAATTATCTGGTTCTCTTATGCGACGTTAAAAGCGAACGTTCAATAGATGGCGTCATCAGAAAGGATAACTGGACGGAGTAAGCGACAATCTTAAAGATAGCAACCGTTTGATTTAAACAAAAGCATATTTTATGTGCGATCTGTTAGTAGTTGTATTTTCGAACAGTAATTAGACAAAGTGTGACTAAAGTCGGGTGTAAATCGAAGATGTAACAAATTATCTTCCACGGGTCTGGGGAGGGACATCAGTGAAATCCTATTAACCATCATCAGTATACGGTACCTGGACACTATTTTCGATTTGTCTGAATTTCAAGGAACTACGTATCTGGTAACTATGGATACGCTGTGTTATATCTGACTGCTAATCCCGCTCCAGTGTCCAGTGCCGGAAAAAGACTCGCCAACAAGGAACACAAAAGTTTTATTGCAACAAGCGAGTGCAAAAGTTACAACGGTCCCACGTTATTTAAGAGCACTTTTTGACATTGATCCAGACTGTCTGGTTGGCGTTTAGTGATCGATCGTGCTTGTATGAAATGCCTGAACACTAATCATAGTCGGTCGTGCATGTGTGGCCTGAACGCTCATTGGCCGAATTGATTGATTGATCGACTGTCCTCGATGCTTTCCGGCTCCCCTATTAAGATTTTGGTGGTGTCTTAGGGTCTCAGTAGGTTCCGGGCATTCTGGGATTATTTTCAGGAATTTGACCTTCTTGACAGTGTGTCGTGCATCGGGTTAGATGGAGATCTGATTAACCCGTGGCCTGCAGCCAAATCAATGCCCGCTTGAACCATTGAGTCTTGGGGTCTTAGTATGAACAGACATTCTGGAATCTGACTTTCCTGATAAGCTCCCAACTAAAACATGGATTTTCCCATGTGTAGCGCAAACAAGCGATTTCGTCGGGTCACCTGTTAAAATCGTCTCATGCTGCGAGTTGACTTTTAACTCCAAATATATTTTATTTGGTGTTTAATTACGAAAATAAGACCTAAAAGGTTGTGGGGGATGTCTACTGGGTGATTTTGAAACCGGTGGAACTGGTAGTCAGAGATAGTTTCTTAGAGCTTGAGAGAATGAGAACTTCATTCGTTAGAATGAAGCAGCTGACAAAACTTCACAGATTCGGTCAAGCCAGGTTACTTGCAACCGTTCAGCTGCTAAACTGCCTCTTTCCTCTCTGTCGTGTTTATTTCATTATTCAAGATCGCTTATTGGTCTGTGCACTGTAAATTGGATCTCGTTCGCTGGACAAGGTGATCCTGAGAGAATTCGAGAGTCGCGATTGAGCTTACTTCTGAGTTACCACCACTACACAGGTGGTGCTTGTGCTCACCGAATCCACTAATTCATGCAAATGAATATAGATTCAAAACAACAGCCGTGTCATTGGAAGTGAATGGAAATACTGATGCGGGAGATATTTCGGTTGCATATTTTTCTTCCAGATACGGAGTAAACTGTAATGTGGTTGTGTTAAGAATACGACACCTAGACTCAAGCGGCCGATCCACCAACTTGGTCTTCGACACTTTTGAGAATTTTGTTGAAGAACCGACACAACCGTGGTCTAAAAACATTTCAGAAGTGGCGTTGTCATCTGGGTAGTCTGCCAAAAACTAGATTGACATTGTAAACTTTTAGGCTGCATGCAGGCTCTCGACGTCTACGAGAAATTTCCAAGCTTTCACTTGTACCGATGTGTACATCATTTGGTCAAAGAGCCCGTCCGGTGTAGTCTTGAACCCCTATTCGATATAGTGTTGCTCAAAATTACGCTTCACCGATGGCGCGGAACAATAAATGGCTGCCGTTCGTTTTGGAACAAATTTGTGGATTCTGACCAAAGGCCCATCAGGAATCGCTTTTCTTTTCGTTTTCCATGGCCGCGTAAGGTCCGGATGTCAGTCGAATCTAGCAGAATCGTTTTCTGTAGTCTCTTACAATGCTCCGCCATCAGATATGAAGGCGTTGTGGAACGAGATTGCCACTTCTTTGCACAGTGCTGGGAGTTTCGTCTGTGGCACGGCGCTACCGGACTCACTCGAACACTGGATATCAGACTGTACAGTGGCACTACTTAAATCTCGGGGGAATATTCCCACCGGTCCCGAACACAATTTAACCCGGCGAATTATCGGACGTCAGGTGATTTTGAGCTTGCGAGCCGACCGTGAAGTCTGGTGGAGTCGGAAAGCCAGTAAAATGGAAGACTCCCAGAAACCAGAAACCTGATCCATGCAACCAGTTACCGGAAACCACCTGAGAGCAAAGCCATGAAGAAACGGAATGGAGCGACCATCTTGAATAAAGGAGAAAGTGTCCTTGTTGTCAGTTTCTATCGAGACTGGCTGAATGAATTCCGGAGGTGCGTGTACCTCGGAGTGATTGTGATAGTTCCTTCCCTATCCCCTTTTATTCTTTTAAGCAAACTGAGGCTTTCAAATAAATCATGGTTACACGGCATCGAAGCATCAGTGTTGAAAACTGTTGCTACGCTGTTGATGATGATGACGCTTCAGTTTGGCCATTCTATGTGACTCCTGAATGAGAAAATGATTACTCGAGAATGTCTCATCTATGAAAGATATGCGAGACCTACCGCATACGTTGTTTTTTCTATTCAGTGTAACCTAACTACTTCTGGTGATGAACAGATTCCATCCAGGAGCATCTGAGGTCCTCTAAGATTCCAAACTACCTAGATTTTCCATCTAGATTATAAGAGTACACGAAAACAACGGTGGTTACAAGTGCATAACATTACCATATGATAAAGGTTACCTTGACAAACATGCTACTGTTGTGCCGATGTCATAAGAGACGTACGTTGAAACAGCTGTCGATTGCTCGTGTTTATACGGCATTTCAAATGGTCGAGTCTGAGAAGCAAATAATTAAGTCCGACAATACGCCCGTTGCCACCGTTATAATGAACACCGGTCGAATCCCGAAAAAAATAGTATTTAATCGTTCAGAGTTACAAAGGTATTTCATCATTGTGTGCGTTTTGGCTATTCTCAACCCCGGGCCAAAGTGGCAGTGGTTTAAACTCAACGAATCGAGTATATCGCTTGGGGGCGCAGTGAATCAGTACGTAATATGTGAGAACAAGCAAAACTACGAGAACGGCAATTCCTTCTCTCCATATTTCTAAATCAGTCATCGGACTGCTTGCTAGCTTTCGGCTTCACAAGTACTATCCACGAACCTGTTCATGTAGTCCAAAATCGCATTATGGTCACGTGACCAAAGGAATCGATCAGTCACAGAGTTTAAGACACAAGACCTTCTAACTGGCCGTGTTGATACATTTGTGGTTCGGTAATTTTGACTGAATTACGGTTTTTTTACTTTTGTTTGTGATATTCTGTTTTCAATGCACGATGTTGATTCCCTACGACTTTTACGATATCCTTGGGGCCGAATTATCTCCACTCAGGAGAAATTTGACTTGAAGTAAAGCAGATGGATGAAAAATAACATTTTTGGGAGCTTCTGGTTACAAAAATGGCGGTCTTTTGACAACTGAAGCCCACCAATCATCCTCTCGCTAGTACGTTTGGTTTCCTCCGGTCTTCATTCATTCATTCATTCATTCATTCATTCTGAAGCATCGTGGTCCCAAGAAGCTCCCTGTAAGGTGATAAATGACGGTACTTACCAAATGGGTGTGGAGTTTCATCTAAGATAAAGGACACCTTCCTAAAACTGAAAAGAGCCACACGGATGGCTATTCGGTTATCACCGGTCATCCGTCAAAGAATGCAGAGAGCAAAGGGGCTTATTCTTTGACATTGCTTCTAAAAGACTAGCCGAAGAGCATATTGTAGATGCTGATTCAGATTAATCACACTCGCTGGTTTACCGACATTTTAAAATTAGGAAGGAGTTTCGATATATATTGACCACGCTGGAGTTCAGTTGTGTAAGTATGAAGCTTCAGGCATCCTCATTAGCTGGAAGGTTAGAACTCCCACCCAGTAAGTGGCGTCTTACCGATCACGCTGTAGGTATTTCAACCCCTTAATTGAAAACCTTGCGCCTAATTGTATGACATGAATAAACTCGTAGTCTGTCCACCAAAGACGTCTCAAGACGCCACACAATGGGGATAAGAAAGCCTCCAAGGAATTCAGCTACCCGAAGTTTGATTTGTGGCAACTGATCCGAATTCTTTTACTTGTCCATTCAGACACCACTTGGCAACTTTTTCTAAATCCTCCTTAAGGCAAGATGTAGAATTCCAGCCTAGGTTGCTCATCCCTTTTGGTTTGATTTTATAAAAAAAAATGGAAATCCACCGTCTGAAAATGCCCACAGCGGTCAAATACCACTTCAGTTCTAGTTGATAAAGAGAAGGGATGGAGTCTAGCATGAGAGTCTTTCATACAGGCCTGATGTTCCATTTGGTCTTTTTGAAGAGGTAACATTAAACGCACAAAGTGAACAAAGGTTGTTTAGAAAAGAAAACTGAATGAAAGCGGAGTCACATCTTGCTTACAGCCGCAGCTGTTATGCGGTTATCTTGCAGACACTGCTGTGTGACCCTACTCCATAATTATGTTGAATCGACCTAGAAGGACGCTTGAGTATCCTGCAACTTGTGACTGAAATTTCACTTGGTGAGAGGCTGAAAGGCAACCCCAAAAGCCGTTCTTTCCTAGAGGGTCGGTGAGCTCTCCGGGACACACATGCGGAAGGTGCATCGACTCAGCCAACATATCATTCACGTTCGGCCACTTGTGACACAGCAACCCTCAACTTTGTGAAAATTTCACTAATGGTTGGCTTATTTGTTCTAGGCAAAGGCCAGCTATACGGGGATCTGTAAGGTGTTGAGCCAACGCAACAGAATGAGTCCGACGCATGAAAGCTCATAACAGTCCAAGATTTGACAAGATGAAAACGAACCATTGTACCACCCGGAGGAAGGAAATGGCGGTGGAGCATTATGAAGGTGACATATCTGCACGAGATTTTGTCATGCTTAGGGACAAAACTTCAAGAATTCAGAAGCTCAGCTATCACCTCGAGAAGTGTAGTAACGGCATTTTTCTCGGCTTAGTTCTCGGTCTAAGCCTCCCAAATTAGTGTTCACGTCAAAATAACCACCAAAGGTGCACAAGGTATATGAACGTCCAAAACGAAGTCAGGAACACTTGTAAAAAGCTTCATGTATATAGCATAGACGGCAATAACTTCCTGGAATTTCTGACGCGTTCTGGATGCGGCATTGGCAACCGGCATTCGACAAATACTGGGTCACGATTGGCTGTTGTGTCCAGATGCTTGACCAATCATATCTCGGCTTGATGCAGAACCGGTAGGCGTCCCGAATTTCTGGCTAATCTTGCGTGGTTAGACTTCTCGGTCGTGGTAGTTCCTAACTGCGAGCGGTAAAGCGGGATCTATGTGAAGTTCCGCCTGAATCATTTAAACCATACGACTTAATGGTAGCATCACCCTGACTGGCTTCACTAAAGTGTGACGCCTCATCTAGGAGACCGGCTCACAGATAGGGTACCTAGTCAGGCCATGCTACTCAGTAATAAGAAATACCGGCGGTTTTACCGGGGTTTTACAGAAAGCCCAAACTGTTTACCTCACCCCCCTCCAAATGCTCCCGGATGACATGAGAGGTGAAAAGACCATCAAAATCAGAAACATCCGGTAGTGGATCAAATTCTTGCTGAAGGCTCATTCAGAGCAGAATTTGAAGGAGTGAGAGCAGGCTTCATACAAATCCGCTGGACAGACCTCACAAGTTTGTGAACCACGTGAGAAACCCGCCTTTTAATGATCCAAGAACTACTTCATACTCAAAAACAGAGCATACAATTTTAAAAATCCAGTTGAGTGATTGCAAGTAGACATTCAGATGACGAGAATGAAATCAAACATCGTCAGAGGACAGCAGAATAGCTACTAGTGAATACTACTGATTGGGCATACGAGTAGTATGTTTTCTTGTAAATCCGCTCCGCGTTCACTGAAAAGTGTAGCATTTGTTTACATTTGAGTAATAATAAAAAAATATCCAGAAAATCTTCGGAGGACGCGTTCGAGAAGAAGACGGATATTCGGTTTTGATAAACAAGATGCACATGGGAATTTCGCTTCCCTGTTCAATAGTCTGTAACCGGTCAGTTGGTGTTTTCTAATAAACAACTCCGCAGCGAAGGCTTTCCTTTCACTACCACAGGGTGGCACTACGAGGAGGCAAGATTCAATAATCTAGCGCTGAGGAAATGTTGAAAAATCGGTGGAGTATAAACGAACGGCTAGTCACTGGCTGTCATACGATCAGTCCCGAAATTCGGAGAATTTAGTAACCTGTACTAAGTAGTAAGCACAACATGCCAATTTAAAACCCTCCAGTGAAGGATCGCTGCCACTAGTGGAGATGGCACTGGGTACGAAACCATTATGTATGAGAAACAGTTATGGAAAACTGCGTTGTCGTTACCGGAATGAAGTGACAGCCTGAACAGTGGCACTGGAACGTCGTATCCAAGCTTTATCACATACCTAATTCTCCGTTGTGTCCATGAGGGCACCCCCAATTAGCGAATACCAGGATAGTTAGAAGAAACATTCTCACATGTACTTTTTATTCTGTGTAACGATCGTATTGTTAAGCTATGTGCTTTGCATGTCACAGGACGTTTTCATTGTACAACTCACTTCGCCGCGGCTTGTGTCGGATGGAGACGATCGACGGGCCATCGGTCTACGACCCGGCGACGATTTATGAATGTCCTTACTCGTCAACTCAGTGCCCTTCATAACTGCCGTCTCCCCGGATGGGAGCCGCGGGACGACCGCTTTGAAACGCTCCAAGTGATTGACATATAAGTCCTAAATCTATCAGTAAAGTATTAAGGATCCACAATGACAACCAGTTATTGCCAACTATCAACCACGTCACTCCTTTTAAGTTCGACTACCTGAGACCGAAGACCACAAGCAGATCTGTTAATTCCACATCAGTCTTTAGTAGGAGAACCAACTCTGAACATAACGGGACTACATAACTGCCAATGGAATCATCATCATCATCATCGACAGCATGACATCACCGATGCTTCACTGCCGTACAACCATGACTTATTTGAAAGCCTTATTGTAAAGAAAAGAGTAGAGGTGGACGGGGGAGGGACTTAGTGCCAGCTTAACACAATCATTCCGAGATGCCTACACCTCCAGACATTCACTCAGGCAATCTGGATAGAAACTGACAACAATGGAATGATAATCGTTTTTCGGTGAGACAGATTTCATTGGTTGTTCTTCACTCGCCCTTGACAGAGGAGTAGTAGTCCTAGTCTCACTTTTGACCGCTTGTACGCGACATTGATCGATAGATCAGCCGGTTCGTTGACTTTTCCTGGTCTGACCAAGTGCACCAGGCGATCAAGCGGCTATCCAGACCGGAGTTCACGGTAATAAGAAGGCATTAATGGACTGTGGTCCACAACAGTCTCAACGGTTAGCAGCCACACCTTCAACTGCTTCCAAGTGCACCAGCCCTACTCTGAGAAGAGAAGTCACGACCTTCCGGAAACCGGTTTGATAAATCTTGGAAGGCATAAATGAGCAACAAGGTACCTTGAATGCTTGTAGTGGTGTTGGTGTAAGTTCTCTGCTTTCCGTTATAAAGCTCTATGCAGATAAGCTGATATAGGTGTGCGGCAGTGAAGCAACAGTTTTCTTCTCTGGTGTTCCTGTCGATGATGATGATGCGTTCCTTGATGCTGGCAACTGCTAATCTCTCAATTCAGTCTTTCAAGTGCTTGCTTCAAATGTCGACAGCTGGGACATGATGGCTTCCATCTTTTAAGACTTATTTCCTTATGAAGTCATGCCTATACCTTCAGTAATATAATATGTAAAATAATATGCCGTTTGTGTTTCTGTAAGATGTAGCATCTGATGAAATTCCAGCAAACTGAAATCCCACCAACATGGGTATGTGGAATTAATGTTCATTTTCTGAAAAAAGTTGATTTCAAAAGTAATCGTCCATAGTTCCAGTACGAGGAGTAGACGAGAACTGCCCAGTTACTCTCAACGAGTGGCACATCTCATCGTGATGCCAAGTGTCCCTTGCAAGACAGTGCAGCACAAGACGAAGTACAGATTTCGGAGGGATTTTGATCACCTGGAATTTTTGCGCCCAGAAGTAAAAAAGCCCAGAAGTAAAAAACATATTAAATTTCATCGCTTTTTTTTACCAGGAAAATAGACTTTCAGAACTGCGATCACAGTGTATGCTAGCTAACTTGATACGATGAAGAAGCTAACTGAAAGCCAGCCAATGTTAAAAAAGGCGAATTCGCTTTCGTTCAGCGCGTACGATAGCAGGTGCGAAAGATCAGAAAAGGCTACTGTTGGTTCGTTTGCTTGGGCGAAAAGTGTGACGAAATCCGAAACCCAAAGAATTAAATGTTTGCAATGCAACGTCACAGCTTGGGAAACCGACCAAGGACCAGTCGTGACACCTGAGCTACCAAGATTACCCTGGATAGTATGTTCAGGAAAGTCTCAGTTAAAGAGGATATGGTATCATCATCATCATCATGATCATTATCATCATCGACAGCATGACACCAGTGTTCAACACTGATGCTTCACTGCCGTACAATCATGACTTATTTGAAAGCCTTGTTGTAAAGAAAAGAGTAGAGGTGGACGGGGAAGGNCTTAACACAATCATTCCGAGGTGCCTACACCTCCAGACATTCACTCAGGTAATCTGGACAGAAACTGACAACAAGAACGCCACTGACATCGGTTGGCAGCCATATCTTGTAGTGTCTCCAACCAGGCACAGTGAGGATCACGCGGTCCCCATCCTGGAAGGCGAGTAGCACCGACAGCACCCAAGCGTTTCGTGATCTCCTTCATACTCCTATGCTAAGTCAAGGGTTGGCCACCTCTCTGCTCACGCCACTCCGATTTTGGCATGGAAAACAGCACTCACTTCGGCAAACGATGGTTCGGCATACGCAACACATGTCCCAACCAACGCAACTTTTGGTGCTGGACACATTCTTCAATGAATGTACTCGCTGTAACGCTCTTTCAGTGCCAACTGCCATGCCACCCCAAAGAGGAACAGGGGATAAGGAATGTTGCCAGGTTGTTGAAGTGTGTATGGAATGTAGGCTTGATAGTGGGGAAAGTTACGGTTGATCCAACCCATCTTTCACGACAAGAATTCCATGCCGTCTACCCAAAACTAGCGACCGATGCCAGCTAACCATGCTATCTGCTCTTCTAATATGAACCTTCAGGTGGTGCCTGCTTAAAGTTTTTGGGGTATTTATGTCCCAAAACTTAAAATAATTTAACATCTATTCCTCATTCTCTTCTTTCGTTTTATCAAAACGATATTTTCAGAACAAAAGCAGAATACCCGCATGTTGGTAAAGCTTTAGTGTCCATTACTGGATTGAATCTCAATAAGCACATTCAGTGTACTGATTATAGCTATCTGTGGATTTAGCCAGATGGCACGCCGAAACCTCCGTACTAAGACCTTCAGGTTCAGTGTTCGGAGGTAAGAAGAAATGTCCAACCTCTTGCGGATCATTATGTTCTCAGACAGCATAAATCGAGCAGCATTGTTGTCACTGACCTTGCCAACATTAAGCCTATACAACGTCACGGCCTCTAAGCTCTATCGTCGGAAATTTGGCAATCTTCTTTGAGCAAAATGGATACTTAGGTCCATTTGGTTTCTTCGGTGAAGTGAGCGATTTGGTTGCCAACCTATCATGGTCTAGTACTTTTCCCAAATTTTCTTAGATCCACAAGCAAAAAATTGCTTTCAACGATAGCATACAAATTAAGTCCAGGACTCTAAAGTCTGGCTGCTCCCACAGTTTTGTGTAACTGAGCAGCTGAATTACCACCACATCACATCACACTGGTGCAACAGGTCCCGTGTTCGACCAAATCACGTGAAGATGCCTGAGATCGATTTTTGGCATTCGGGTAAGGGATCACGTGAAGCTGAATTCAACTGGATTATTGATACTGTTGAGGTACGATTGGATGTCAAGTATATACAATGACCGGTAAGGTTGTCTTATCCTACTACATGTCGCCTGTCATCCTGAATAACAACGAAGCATCATAGTGCGTTTTTTTGAATGAACTGAGCAAACTAACTTTATGAAATTCTCAGTGAAACAGAATTCTAACGCGAAAACTATATTGGTAAACCTGGATCAGTTAGGGAACAAAACAATATTCTTTCTCCTCGATATTCACTGTTGGATTAAACACATCCCAGGGATTGATACAAGATACTTCGTATAAACGGCAGATGGATGTCAACTGCGTGATGTATCTACATCCCTATGTGCTATGGTCCATCGGAATAGCTATCCTGGGGTGAAAACTAGTCCTTACCGTGCTCACTTGTTACGGTGCTGTGAGCTTTACTACTGAACAGAAACCAGAAAAATTGGTCAAAACCACCCTATCAATCATTATCATCATCATCATCATCATCATCATCATCATCATCAACA